AGTCGCAGTAGCAGTGGCAGTAGTAGTATCAGTAGCAGTAGTAGTAGTAGTAGTGGCAGTAGCAGTAGTAGTTGGTAGTGGTTGTAGTAGTGGTGGTAGCAGTAGTGGCAGTAGTGTAGTAGCAGTAGCAGTAGCAGTAGTGCAATGACTTGCTGTTTTTTGGTCGCCTGTAGCCTCTCTCTGTCGAGGCTGTACTATAGGTAGGACAGATTCGTAATTTTGTTTGGCTGAGGGCTAACCGAGTGACCTGCCTGTAAGGAAAATTTGTGAGGGACATATCTGTAAATTCGGGAAACTACAGGCCCGTACTAACTGAATTTCCTAAAGCTACCCTAACTTCGAATAGCAGACCCGGGCTACCCCTAAGACAGACAGGCCCTACAGGCCTAAGCTGATAGACGGGCCTATAGCCTATAGCCGGGTTGGGAAAAACCCTAGAGGCCGAAACAGAAACGGTACAGGCAGTCCGGTCTAGGTCGAGTCTAGGCTAGAGTAGACTATACTAGGTTGGGCACATCGGTTCAGGGCTTTTGGCAGTTGGTACCGTGTACATCGCTGCTGCGCTACGCGTGAACCGGAAGTGGTGACGGCTCAGCATTGTGGGAGACAGACATAGCCAGACCTTCGGAACACCTGCCATAGCTGGGACCTGCGCTGTACTCTGTCAGCACGCGGGGCTGTCCGAGGTCTGGGTTATTGAGGTCTGCTGGAGGCGAGAGAAGTTGGTGCCCTGCTGGACCCTCCTCTGGAGTGGGGTCACAGGGTTGTGGCGCTGCAGCCATAGCTGCAGCTTCTTCCTCAGAGGTCATCTTGTCAGGAGTGGTGGCGCTGCTGCAGACTTCCACCCGGGAAGTCTTTTGACACTTCGTCATCATCAGATACTGTGGCGCTGGTCTTCTTCTTCCCCCTCTGAGTGGCGCTTGGCCCCAGAGGCCTGTTTCAGGGTGGCGCTGTCCTCTGGAGGCAGTACTTGGGTGGCACTTGATGTTTCAGGGGCTCAGGGGTGTCAAGAGTGGTTACTCAGGGTCGGGGAGTGAAGCACTGCCCACTTCTGAGCAGCGCACTGTAGTTCTGAGGTTATCCTGACAATTCAAGACTCTGAGTTAAATAAACAGTGTGATACTGAGTTTGGGCTATCATCGTTTCATTGTTTCCTGTGCAATCAGACTCGTCTTATTCACACTTTTCATGTGTGCAAACAGCAACACAGTACACTAGCGACATGCGCCCACACGGGACTCAGAGATATGGCTTCCAGATACGAGTTTACTTTCAACTGGCTATGGCGACTTAGCGCCCAAACAACTCACTGTTCACACACTGGATCACCCTGGATATCCCACACACGTCACTCTGAACACTTACACGTGCACACACACTCTTCCCACTAACTACCGCTATGGCAGCTATGGCTGCCTCTACCCTATCGCTATGCTAACTCCTCCTCTCTCGCCCACTGCGTCCTCCGGGCTCACTGCAGACCTCC